TGAGAGGGGTTACCTTGACATTCTGCTACGAACCAATGGGACGGATGAGAGTCGCCCATTCCTTCTGGTGCCAGGCACCCACTGAGGCTCTGAGCATTCACTTGTGACCGGGTGACAATCCCTGCCCTCAGAGAGTTTGTGGACCAGTGAGGGAGAAAGACATCAGGGAGATAACTAAACAAATAATTAACTAACTGCAGCTGTTGTTAAGTACACAGGTATATAAAGATTTAGGGTGGAATGTTCCAGTCACCCCGGGTCATCTGACCAGTCCTAACCAGGGTCAGAGGTGGGGAAGTTGTCCTATGGAAGACACGGGCCCCCTTCCCCTTGGTCCAAAGTAGACTTAAGAAAAAGTTGCCTAACATCCGAAGCAAACTCAGGGCTGGGGTGTCTCTTGTCCTCACTTCTCAATCTTCACTCTGTGGAGTGTAGGTTAAGCCCACTTTACAGAGGAAAAGATTGAGCTTGGGGAAGTTAAGGGACTAGCCCGGGGTGCCAAGAGCCAGCCTGTGGCAGAGCTGGGCTTCGAACCCACAACTGCCTGGGTCCAAATCCCACACCTCTTCTATAAGGCACTGCCTCTGGGACCCTGTCTGGATGCCCTCCTGGAAGCCGAGGCAGGGAACAGAGAAGGGGAGCGAGAGAACGAGAAAGGGGCAGGGCAGGCTAAAAAGTCACCAGATTGCCGCCCCCCCCCACCATCACCACCTCCCACTCTTCACAGCCAGCCCTTTCTCGGCATCTCCTGACCAAACCTCCACCCGCTTAACATTCCGCTCAGTTTCCACTCCGCTCCGACTCCCAATGTTTATCAACACATGCTGTAATGTAATCAGCTCCTGGGAAAATACACACCAGGTAACGGATGCTGACAAGAGTGTCAAACAGATGTCCCCTCCCTGCCCCTCCCTCCCTCCCAGCCAGAGCCGGCACACCCAGGAGGCTGGGGGAGCGCCTCTTGCCACACCACCCCTCCAGTCCTGGCCGCAGAGGCCCTCCCCGGGAGACTGACACCATGGAGCCCAGCAGCGCACCAGGCACTGTGCAGGGGGCTTTATACACCTCATCTCATCTGGCCCTCACCACAGCAGTGTAAGGGTGGTCTTAATATCCCCATTTTGCAGACGCAGAAACTGAGGCACCAGTGATGATGAAACCAGAGTGAAGCAGCAGCGGCAGAAGCAGAGAAGGATGATCACACTGGCTGTCCTTTTACCATCAGGCCACCTCCCCACAGAGCCCAGGCCTCTGAAGAAAACTGTCTTTGTCACCTTTCCGAGTAATTGGATCTCAAGCCTAAGGGTCTGGCCCCCGTGGCTGTGGCAGGCCAGGTGTAAGGGGACTGGCAGCCTGTTCCGCATTTCTGCCCCAGCCAATAGAAGGCACGGTGCTGGATGCCCCGAAGGCTCAGGACTGAGCAAAAGAGGGAGGCTTCTGCAGTGGCGTGGGGGAGAGGGGCTCTGGGGGAGGGAGAGACCTTTTATTGTCCTTTTGTCCCCTTCCCCAAGAACCAGAGCTCAAGGACCCCCGAGGCCAGCCCAGACAGAGGGGAGAGGAAGTGCACAGAGTAGGGGAGCGCCCAGATGGGACAGGCTCCGCCCACCACCCCAGGACCTCCGTGCCCTCCCCAGGATCAGCTGTCTGAGGCCACCGTCGTCGTCCTGGAGGAGCTCGGTATTTGCTTTTCCCTCCAACGCAGTCAATTGCTCCTTTCATCTGACTGGAGTTGTAAATGAGACTTTATGGGATTCCTAATGATGGCGGTTTCCCTTTATCAGCCTCCAATTCCCACTTCTCAGCCAGGGTTGACTCGGGGAAATGTTTTGACCAGGAATCCAGAATCCAGCAGCAAGCCAGTGCCCCGCTTGCTGCTCTCCACAGTGCGAGCTGGAAGTTGTCAAACAGGCCTGGCCCCCACCCCGTGGAAGCTCGCTGCGGAGAAGTCAGATCTGGGTTCCAGGCCGCCTCCCAGATGGTGTATTTCACCTCTCCCGGCTTCTGCTTCTTCAACCATAAACCTGGGGTAATAAAGCCTGCTCCACCCACCCGCCTCACCAGGCCACTGTGAGAATCAAATGAGATTATAGGCTTGAAAACCCTTTGAAAAATATAAAGCAATCGCCCAAGCCGGTTTTGCTATTATTATTATTATTGCTGTTGTGATTTTGTGTAGGTGCGGCTGGGAGAGCAAATGATAGCAACCTGTACATCTTGGAGAGTAAAGCCTGTTTTTGCACACGGGAGTGTATGTACCTGTGTTGTGGAAGGATGGAGTTCTAGTGTTTGCACCTGCCTTTTTTTTTTTTTTAATGTTTATTTATTTTTGAAGGAGAGAGACAGAGCATGAGTGGGAGCGGGGCAGAGAGAGAGGGAGACACAGAATCTGAAGGGGCCCGAGGCTCTGAGCTGTTAACGCAGAGCCAGATGCAGGGGCTCCAACTCACGAACCGCGAGATCATGACCTGAGCCGAAGTGGGACGCTTAACCGACTGAGCCACCCAGGTGCCCCTGCACCTGCATTTAAAGGAGTGTATGGGGCAGGGACGCCTGGGTGGCTCAGTCGGTTAAGCGTCTGACTCTTGGTTTTGGCTCAGGTCATGATCTTGCGGTTTGTGGGTTCGAGCCCCGCATCTGCCTGCTTGGGATTCTCCCTCACCCCTCCCCTGCTCGCCATGCTCTGTCTCTCTCTCAAATTAAATAAACAAACTTTAAGAACATTTTTTAAAAAATACAGGAATCTGGGGCGCCTGGGTGGCGCAGTCGGTTAAGCGTCCGACTTCAGCCAGGTCACGATCTCGCGGTCCGTGAGTTCGAGCCCCGCGTCAGGCTCTGGGCTGATGGCTCGGAGACTGGAGCCTGTTTCCGATTCTGTGTCTCCCTCTCTCTCTGCCCCTCCCCCGTTCATGCTCTGTCTCTCTCTGTTCCAAAAATAAATAAACGTTGAAAAAAAAAAAAAAAAATACAGGAATGTATGGGGCAAGGTATGGGTGTCTATGAGTATATGGGGACATGTGCACACATTCCGGTATCTTCATAGAATACCACGTTGATACATAATAACACAATAATCTTGAGTGCCGGGCATTGTGCTAAGCACTTGATACAGGGGTGTGGGTCCGTATAGGTGTGCAGAGCATTTGCAACATACGCGTGTCAGTGTTGGAGGAATGCAATGGAACGTGTGACTATTCGTGTCATACCGGCAGCGGGGAATCCCTCCGTGTGCTTGCCCGGGGGTCAGTGATGGTGTGGGCCTAAATGTCAGTGAATCTGAGCGTATGTGCGCATGCACGTGTCTGCACGCGCGTGCACACGGGTGCACACCCACCTCCCTGTTCCCGGACGGATTGGTGTAATTGTTCGTTATTTATCAGCTGCCTGGGCTACGTGAGCCCCCTGCTTGCCCTGAGCTCGCTGCCACACAGCCATCAAGCCCACACACACATTGTGGTGACAGCAGCCTGCTTGGGAGGGGGGGCGCCACTCTGCTCTCTGGAGCCACACTCTGTGCCAGGCAGCAGGGCCCCTGCCGGGGAACTGCACAGATTGACGACACCAGACTTGGAGCCGCAGGAGTGCTCAGCAGATGGGTCGGGCTCAGGGGCCCTGGGAGCAGGACTGACAGAGCTGGCACCTTTAGGTCCAGACGACCTGGCTCTAACAGGCTGAACCCAGGGCCCGGCCCGAGACTACCACCTTAGCATAATACCAGTCGTGGCTGCCCAGTGGCCAGGAGTGAAACATCCTTGCTCTGCTGCACCCCCACCGTGGCTCATCGCTGCTCTCGGGATTAAGTCCAAACTCCCTCAGGCAGCGCACAAGGCCCACACCTGGCACATACCTCCCAGCCCCTTCTCCCCCCACCCCTCCTTGCACCACCAGGCAGACTGGACTACTCACGGTCCTAAGATGCGCTTGGACCCATGGGTCTTTTCGCTGCCTTTCCCCTGTCTGATTTCTCCATGCAACATCCCTGGCTGGCCAGTCCTGGCTCCCACGAGGTTCAGCTCACCTCCACAGGAATGCTTCCCTCGTCCTTTCTGACCCCCCCCCCCGGATTAGGGAAGAGTCCCCACACCCCCGACATTCCTGTAGGCCCCTAGATTCCCCTAGTATCCCGCTTCCTTATTCGCCCTCTTTTCTCCCATCGACTCGGGCCCCGGGAAGGGGCAGAGCATGCCTTAGTGGTTCATGGTTTTATTCCAACGCTTAGCGTGGTACCCCATCATAGGTGGTCCATAAATACTTGTTAACGAATCGCTGCTAAAGCCTTTTGTGAGAGAGTGGCTCCCTTGAGTTCTCCACGTTACATCACAGCGTGCATCTGTACGGCTTTGGGTGTCTCAGATCTCCGGGCTGAGGAGAACTGCGCCCTCTCCCCAGTCCCTCTCCTTCATCCCATCTTAACGGCAATAATCCCCATCCCCGACTTCTACAAATGGAAGTCAACGACACGATCTTACGAATGGGCAAACTGAGACGCAGAGAGGTAAAGGGCTCGTGAACAGGATGACCATCCCCCGGTTTGCCCAGAACTTTCCCCGTGGTAGCACTGAGAGCCCCATGTCCTGGGAAACCCCTTCGGTCCCGGGAAAACTGGGACAGTTCGTCCCCCTTCTTGTCCGCGGTCCTCAAGTGGCAGATCCAGGACGCAAACCTGGGACTCCTGACTCTGAATCATACACATACCCCTCCCTGCTCAGCTGCCTCCCAGGCCACCTCCAAGTTCAGTGACTTCGCGTGGGCATTGTCTTCCCTTCGGATGTCACATCCAGGCCACTTGACACGCTCCTGGAGGAGCTGTGCCCAGAAGCATGTACTCAAGGAATACAGGGCATTAATATTAACCTAAATCAAATATAATTCAGAACCTCATTTCTGGAGGAAAAGCACTGTACCTGACACAGAAGGGAAAAAAAAAAAGTAAATCTAGCATAAAATAACTTTATAATGATGTTAAAGTAAATTTTAAAATTAAAAAAAAAACACCACTTTACCTGCAAATCGTTTTCATTTCTCCACATGGCCTTCACCGTTCTCTCTCTACCGGTGTATCTTTTTTACAAAATTGCAACGCGGGACGTGTGTCGTGCTTCTTTTTAGCTCACGCGATAGAAATCTGGTTTCGATTTTCCTCATTCTGGACCCTCCGTGTCATTAGCATCCCTCATTAGCCAAGATACCAGGGAGCCTGGGCTCAGGGCTGTCCCCTTCCTGAAGGACTCCTTCCTAACGCAGGGCCCAGCTGGGCTTCTGAGGGGCTGCCGTGTAATCGCTGTCCTGTGCGTGTGTGCGGCCAGCAGGGCAGAGGGAGACAGCTTCTGCCGGATCCTGAAGAGGTCTGAGGCCCAAAGAGTTCAAGAGCCACACTCCACAGTGCTCCGGAGAAGAACAAACAGCCTCATCCCCCGGCTCCCAGGGCGAATGTCCACCACGCGCTTTCTCTACGAGGCTTGGGTTGACCCAGGATCTCTGTTCCTCCCTTAAGATCAAGTCCACTTCTTGACTTCCACATGGCTCTCAAAAAAATAAAAAATAAAAAAATCTGGTTCCTCTAGACAAGTAGTACGTCCTGATCATTATCCTGACCACAAACCCCACCCGCCCCCGATCTGAAGGCACCAGTGAAGAAAAGGGAGTGTGGGTGGGAGGCCGAGGGTCTTCGTCCTCGCTCTCCTCCCTCTGGCCTTCCCCATCAGGTATGCTGCAGGTGGAAACCTTCTCAGCCCCTTCCCGTGTCTTGGTCAAAGCTCCCTGGCCCATGCAGGTCCTCAGCAGAAGCTTCTTCTTCGCACCACTGTTGAGTTTTAGGTATTCCCAAATCAGAAATGGTGCCTCCACTCACATCTAGAATCCTTTGGGGTCTCTCTCTCTCTCTCTCTCTCTCTTTCTCTCTCTCTCTCTTTCTCTCTCAAAATAAATAGAATCCCCTAGGACTTTGGACATGGTGATTCACAGCAATGCACTGAGGGCCTTCTAACCAGAGCCAGGGTGTAGACCAATTTGCCTTCTGGGCCCTTTCCTTCTGGAGAATTGGGTGGTTCGAGGTGAAACTGGGGCCTTCTATCATTGCTCAGAGCTCTCGCTCCCAAAGGCGTGGAGATCCCTGGGACAGTATGGCCCACAAGGGAGAGGCTGGCTGTCTGTCAGCCATCTTGGTAGCGCTCTGACCTGGTCGTCATTGTACCCGGGGCAGAGCTGTGTTCAGCTGATCTGTCGTCCCCAAGAGCAATGGCAGCCGTGGCAATAGGGAGGCTCTGCAACAATCTCTGTAAGAATAACAATAATTAAACATTTCTAAGCACTGTGGGATACACAGGCACCATCATAATCACCACAGCTACCAAGGTAGTGATAACAGTAATTAGGTGCTGTGGTTTCCCACTGCCTGGGGTGAGGTTGGCCTGTCAGGTTAGGGAAGGGGGCACCCACGCCAGTGGGTCCTCTCTGGGGCTGGCTAGGGCTTAGCCATACTTCCTCTACGGGGTTCCCCTCCTCCTCTCCTCTCCCCTTGCCCTCAGCCTCCATTGACCCTAGACCCGGGACCAGGGTCACAGGGAAGGGTGACCCCCATTCGGCATACCATTCTAATATATGTTCAAGCTTATCTTCTGTCAACAGACTTTGGGGTATTGGGGAATCTTGGGGACTTCTTAAGAGGGCTCCCCGCACATCAAAGTGAGCTTTATTAGCCAATTACTAAATGACACAGAGGGGCCTGGAATATGGCCGGGAGGGGAAGTCATTATTGTGTTGACTTTGGGTCTTTTCCAAGCCCAACGGCTGTCTCTATGAAAGAGCCTGTGGAGGCTGAGGGGGGGGGCGGGGGACCTTGGGACAGTTTCCTGGTGATGGCACCTTCCTCGGAGCTGATCTCTGTGTGATCACTGGCCCCAGACACGGGGTTGGTGAGACAGGTGAAGTCACGTGCCTGTCCTTTGAGTGTTATTCCTGTGGCCATCAGTCTCAGAGCCAGGAGAGAACATGGAATTCATATGGGCCACTCTCCACCCCGGGGCAAGGATCCCGTATACAGCAAGCAATGCCGGTACACGGACCTGAGGCCTGAGTGGGAAAAGAGACAGGGAATTTATTCCATTTTCAGTTCCCTAAACAGTCTTCCCAGACGAAACCAAAATCTACTTCCCCCCCACATATGCCCACTGGTCCTGATTCTTCTCTACGAAGGCACGCAGACCACGTTTGTTCCTTTTCCCTTTGGGTTTTGGAAGATCGCTAACCACACCTCCCTTCCCCCTCCTCTGGCCCTTCTCCTTTGTGAGGCCTGAAGCCACCTCTCCCGTCTCTGGGCAGGTAACTCCATCTCCTACCCCACTGCAACGGCCTTATCATTCACTTCCCCGATCGCCACCCCAAAACTTCCGTCTTCACTGCCCTCTTCACATTCCCTCCAGGCTCAGAAGAAGAGAAGTCCCTTCTTTTCTAAGGCTGATCCCTCCCCCACCCAGGTGCCACCACCCGTGCCTCGTCCGGGGCCCACTTCCATGAAGTGCACCCTTTTTCACACCTTACGCCCGTTTCCCAGATCTCACTGTTCACTAGCTCTCTTCTCACCGCCTGCAAGTGGCTCAGAGTAGCTTCTGATTTCCCAGCAAAGAGGGGAACATAAGCCCCCTGGTCTCTGTCGCGCCAAGTCTCTCCAAGCTTCTGAGCCATTTTGCTCATCCCGACCACTACCAAACTTCTCAGGAGCGGGGTGGACGCCTGCTGCTTCTGCTGGCTCACCTTCCATTTGCTTCTGCCCCGACTCTGCCATCACCATGACTCCAACGGGCCACTGGTGTTTCTGCCCCTGTTTCCAAAGACCCCCTGCTGATCCCTACCTGCTTTCTGCAACATCAGACACCACTGGCCACCTCCTCCTCCAATAAATTCTCTCCTCGCTTGGCTTCCATGACAACCCTGTCTCCACACTCCCCTCCTCCCTCACTGACCAGTCCGCCTCTGACCATCGTGCCGGTGCTATTGCCAGATTCATCTCCTGAACCACAGTCCCGGCAGCCCCCAATAAGTGCTTCTCTGCTCAGAGACCTTCCATGGCTCACTGCTGCCTGCAGGAAAAATAAATCAAGGAGTTCTAAAATAATGTGACTACAGTTAACCCTTGGAAAAAATACGTGTTTGAACTACACGGGTCCACTTACACGTGGCTTTTTTTTTTTTTTTTTTTTTGCAGTAAATACAGTCCAGTGCTACAAATGTATTTCCTCTTCCTTACGATTTTTTTCTTTTTCTTTTTTTCTTTTTGAGAGAGAGAGAGAGAGACAGAGCGTGAGCAGGGGAGGGGCAGAGAGAGAAGGAGACACAGAATCCGAAGCAGGCTGCAGGCTCCGAGCTGTCAGCACAGATCCCAATGCGGGGCTCAAACCCACGAACCATGAGATCGTGACCTGAGCCAACTGACTGACGCTTAACCGACGGAGCCACCCAGGCGCCCCATGATTTTCTTAATAACACTTTCATTCCCCTAGTTCACTTTATCGTAAGAATACAGTATATAATACGTAGAATATACAAAATGTGTTAACCAACTGCTTATGTTGTTAATAAGCCTTCCGGTCTTAGCAGCAGGCTGTTAGTAGTTAAGTTTGAGAGAAGTCAAAAGTCATATGCAGATTTTCAACTGTGCGGGAAGCTGGTGCCCCTAACCTCTGCGTTGTTCAAGAGTCAACCGTCTATGTGATACAGAATACATAATGCAATAATATGTCGGGTTGGGGGGGTCAAACGTTTTAAGCAGCAGAATCCATTAGGAAGAAACTTCCTCAAAAAGCCCCATGTTTAAAGAGCGTAAAACAAGGTGCTCTTTAAACATGGCTCCTAATTGAAGCAGGAAGTGGGGAGCCCAGGAAAATGTAGGGCTTTCAAAGCGCAATTGGAAAACCACTGAACAAATTCTATTCCTCAGGCTGCAGAGAAGACAACTGAAGCCCAGAAAGGAGAAGCAACTGCTAGCAAGTGGCACAGGGTGTGAGTTAGTCAAGCAACACGTTTTCGCTGAGTGCGGACCAAGTGGCAGGCACATTCCGGATGCTAGGGATAGAGCAGACGAGACCCACAAGGTCTGCCCTGGAGAGGCTGAGAGCCCAGTGGGGAAAGAATCACGTTTATAAACACTTGCTGAAGGGTTACAAGCATGCGAGGGAGCTGTGAGAACATACAGGAGGGGACTCGCCTGGTCTAAAGGGTAGAGTGGACCATTCTGCGGAAATGACACTTGTAAACTGAGCCATGAGAAATAAGTGGCCGGCCGAAAGGAAGACGAAGAGCATTGGTGCAGATGAGTAAAGGCCAAGGAGGCGAACTAGATGGCCTCAAGAGACTTCAGGAAAGCCCAGTGGCTCCTACTCAAAGCCCTGGAACTGGGTAAGACCGGGCGGAGGAAATATGCAGCCCCACAGGCCTTGTAGAGAATTTGACACAGGCCTCCGAGGCTGGCAGGCCAAGGAAGGGGTCTCTCGTATGGGGTCCTGCTCATTTGCATTAGAACACAATCCACTGCTAAATGCAATGTAGTATTGGGGCGCCTGGGGGGCTCAGTCGGTTAAGCATCTGACTTTGGCTCAGGTCATGATCTCACGTTTCAAGCCCCACGTGGGTCTCTGCCCTGACGGTGTGGAACTGGCTTGGGATTCTCTCTCTCTCTCTCTCTCTCTCTCTCTCTCTCTCTCTCCCTCCCTCTCTCTCTGCCCCTCCCCACTTGCTCTCTCTCCAAATAAATAAACCTAAAAAACAAAAAGAAAAACTAAATGCAGTGTAGAATTGTGGATTGGAGCCTGGCACACCGAGCAGACATTAGTAGAAAACTGAGAAATCCAGACGAATTCTGTAGCTAATAGTATTATGCCAATGCTAATTTCCTGGTTTCAACAAATACACCATGGGCGCATCAGGTATCAACATGAAAGGAAGCTGGATGAAGGACACCTGGAAACTCTGTTCCACCTTTGCCACTCTTCTGTAGATTCCAAATCACTTGAAAATCAACGTTTTAACAATTCACGTATCCCTCTAGCACCAGGGAAGAGAAGAGCCAAACTGGTGTGGGGAGAGAGATTACGGTTACACTCACGGCTAACACACACTGTTCTTTATGTATCCCAGACACTGTTCCAAGGACTTCATGTTGTCCAACCCATCTGATCCTCACAACAAGTCCGGGAAGTAGGTGCTAGTATTTCCCCCTCATTTTACAGGGGAGGAACCCGGGCCCAGAGAGGTGAAGTCACTTGCCCAAGGGCACACAGCTACTGCATGGCAGGGCAGGGGTTTAAGGATTCAAATCCAGGCAGTCTAACTCCAGAGTCCCATGTGCTGGACCATTTTACTCCCTCCCCTCGGGGTGCACTGTCTATACTGCTGATGAGCACGTGGATAGTGTGCCAACAGTAGAAATGGAGCAAAGTCACTTAGACTTAAGATAATGCTGGAGGTAGAATGAACAGTGTTTGCTTTTGGATTAGAATATGCTGGTTGAAGACAAAGCAGCAGCAGTGGATGACTCCTGGGCTTCCAGCTTAAGAGGAGGGACCAGAGTCTAGCCTCCTACCACGTGGTCCTGTGTTCCTTCCTGCCACCGAAGGAGCCCTTTCAGACCTTTTGAAATCTGGCTGCAATTTTCTGTCCCTTTCTCTTACACATCCCCAGAATGCAAAAAAAAAAAAAAAAAAAGAAAAGAAAAGAAAAGAAAAAACATAAAAAGCAAAACAACAAAAACAAACAAACAAACAAAAAAACTCCAAACAAACAAACAAAACTGCACTGTCGGTCGTTCCCCCACAGGGTCCCAACCTCTCCCACCTCCATGTGCTTGTACAAGCTGTTCCCTCCACCAAAGTTCTCTCCTCGGTCCCCCTTGGTCCAAATCTGATCCACCTTTCGGAGCCTCAAACAAAGGACACCTCTTCCAGAAGCCTTCCCTGTTCTCCACAATGAGAAGCACTCACTCCTCCCTCTAGGTGGCTGTGTTTGGGGGGCGGTCTTCGGCCGTGACCAGCTTCCATGCTATAATATACTTATTTGAGTTAAGGCCTTGGCTGTGCACTTTCGTCCCGTCAGTCCCTAGCACAGTAGACACTCAAAAAGACATCTGTTTACTCTCTGAGTAAACAATCTCTATCTTATTTTCCTCTGTGCCTCCCCTGGCTCTCTTATCTGTCCCCTGTAACCCAGTACACACACACACACACACACACACACACACACACACACAACACACACACACAACACACACACACAACACACACACACATACACACACACACACACACAACACACAAGGCACCTATTTGGTGCTTTGCATATTTCAGGGTCTGTTTAAAGGTGATGAATGAATGACCATACTATCTCATTTACTTGTCTTCTTCTTTTCCACCCAACCCCATCCCCAGACAGCCATGCTAACCCCCAGACACACCCTCTCTGGAAGCTCATTTAAGAGCAGATCAGAGAAGCCTTAGCCAAGGATGAAGAGGCGGGAGAACATGTGCAGGGCACTGGTGGGTACTGGTGCATCTGGAATGACCCTCTCAAACCCATCCATTTGTCTCCTACAATACGCCAGGCAGAGTCTCAGACCACAGCAATGAACCAACTGAGCCCTGGCCCTTAAAGTACTTCCGGGCCAGAGAGGAGGTAGCTACCATCGGACTGGGCCACCACCTCCTGGTGGTCCCCCAGACATTCACAGACCCACAGGCCTCCCCCAAGTCTTAGGCTCAGGCTACAACCAGTTCGTGGGTCCTACTCCCCCAGTTATTGCTGGTCTTCGTGCCTTTCCTTACACGGACCTCCCCCAACCTTAAATCCAGTCTCCTCAATGCCTCCCCACTCCAGTACATGTCTACCAGATGACTCACCAGCCCCTGTGTCGCTGCTCCCCAGAAGCCTTTCCTGATCCCCATCCCACCCCAGGCTGAACTCAGCACCTTCTCCAAAACCCGCCAAATCCTGGGTGTGCACTCCTGGGACACACTACACACGTTAAACACTTATTTAAATACAATATCTGTTTCTATATCTGTCTTCTCCCTTTGCCCACCCCCCACCCCCCACCCCCAACTAGATGTTGTGCCTTTAGGGCAATGACAAGGTCTCTATAGCCCCAAGCCTGGCACGCTGCTTGGCACAAAGACAGCTCGATTACATCTATTAAATGTAGAAGATATACACACGAGGGCACAAACGTCCACGTGAGTGCCAAACTAGACCACTTCGGCAGGAAAACAAGAGACCCTCCAGGGCCAGATCCCAAAAAGTGAGAAAATGGTGCCCTCCTTGCCATCCTCCTTCTGTTCCTCCTGCACCCAGGAACTGGTATTTACACGTTGTCAGAAACTGTTGCTTCCTCTGGCTCCTACCCACTGGGCAAATGGCAGCAATGGGCAAAGGGAGCATTATCTGGTCAAACATCTGGGGAGGAGTTCTGGTGGGAAACCGTCTGTCTGTCTGTCTGCCTACTCCCAGGGTGCAGGACGAGGGTAGGACGTCCACAGAGAAGGCCCAGAGGGCAGGCTTCTGGCTGCCAAGGGCCCTGAAGGTCCAGCCCCCTTGGCAGGAAGCCAGACACACCCCAGTGTGGTGGGTGGTGAACGGGATGGACTGGAGAGTCCCTGCCCTGCCGCGGACACTGACTGGATGGGTCACTTTCGCGGGATTTCTGCAAATCACTCAAAACCAAGGTTCTGGCAAAGGAAGCAGAGCTCAGTTTCCCGCTGACTTCAGAAGAGGAGGGGGCTTCAGTCTTGGGAGAGGAGACCCCTGAAAAGCGGCGGCGATTAGAAAAGGCCAGAAACCTCGGTGGCCCCATCTCACCCACGGATGCCCACCACGGACTTCTCTGGCAGCTTCCGGTCGTCCCCGCAGAGCTGCCTCTCCCTTCAGCGTTCAGGAGATGCAGAGGAGAGGGGGGGAGCTCTGGCTCTCGGGTTCTAGTCCAAGCTCGTGCCTCTGGGCGAGTCGCCTTCCCTTCCTCTGGGCCTTTGTTTCCGCATCTGTAAAATGGGGCCAAGGCTGGCGTAGAGGGCCTGCAGACGCCCTTTCAGCCGGACTTCGCCAGATCCAGTAGGCTCCATACTGCACGCTCGCTCCTCCACAGCCCCCACCCCCGCCCCATCTTAACTCCACCCCCACCGAGCGGCTTCTCCCCCCCACGCCGGCCGCTAGGGGTCACTGCCTCCCTTTGTCAGCGAGGAGGAGGGCGGCTAGCCCTCCGGCCCTCGCCCGGGCGGGAAGGCGACCGAAGGGGCACCTCCCGAGCCAGTGGGCCGCGGCCGACCCC